CCCCAAAACCCCAAAACCCCAAAACCCCACTGTGTAGAGTTAGAATTGTATAAATTAAATTCACTAAAATGTCAACAGTAGGGGTACATCTGATCCTTTAGATTAAACCAAAACTTTTTGAGGAGTGAATTCCTGGATTAGAGGTCCCTGTTCCCATGCAGTTTCATATTCCAGAGAATTTCCAATACAAGGCAAAATTCATTGACCTAATTGAGCAAAATGGAGGTTTTGTAATCAGAAGACCTGGACAAATGAACCCTCTTGTGATCCAAATAGTCTGTGCAGATAGGAGACTTCAATATTGAAACCAAGTGTAATCCCAATGCTTGATTTTTAGAGTCGAGGTACTAGACCAAGATTTCTTCGTACAAACAACTGATGAATTGTCAAACAAAGTCACTGGCCAAAAGCTTATGAGGTATTTATCAGTCCCATCAGAGAGCAAGGAGTACTATAAAGAGACTTTCTATAAAGGCCAGCTTTATTCAATCAGCTGGTTGAAAGAATCCCTGCTGAAAAATGAACTTCAGAAGAAACACAGATACTGGACTCTCAACATTTTTGACTCCACAAAGAGAACATTATGCAAATCAAAGAAAAACTTTTCGGTATCAGAATTGATTCACATGCTGAAAATAACTTATTGGGAAATCCCAAAAACTTACTCTGTCACCAAAAGATGGACACTAAACACTCCTGGCCGTAATATTGAGTGCTGGAAAAACAAGATTAGGTACGCCTGCTCTCTAACCTGCTGTAGGAACAACCGGTTTGGTAAAATCTGCTTCGAATGTGCAATCCATGACTGTGCAATGAAGTACCCTTGGGACAAAAGTAAGCCAAATCTCACACATAGACTCCATCCTCTCATTCAGAGAGGTTTACCCAGACAGAAATTCAGCCTGAAATTTTGTAGAGTAAGATCTCTCAAAATGTTTCTTCTATAGAGTTTACCAAACTGACACTCAAAATCGATTGAAAAGGAAGCGGAAGACAGTACAACTATCTGAACCCAAACAAAATAAGAGAGCTAAGAGAAGCAATAGAGATCTTTATGCAAAAAACAAAATCTATAATTACATGGATCTAGTCAAGACCGATTAATTTAGTTAGATTTCACTCAATTTCAAAAGGTCTGACTGAAATCCATTAAGAAAATATTCAATATTCTGCAGTAACTTAGGGGTTTTGGGGTTTTGGGGTTTTGGGGTTTTGGGG